ATTTGATTGCTAACCAGAAGGCTGGCTGCTCAAAGTCACCAGCCACTCCTCGGAAGGAAGATTGGGCAATCTACTTCCATAGAGATACAGCCTTGGAAACCCAAGGAGGGGTCACTATGAGTCGAATCGACTCGAGGGCAGTGAGTTTGTTTTTTTTTTGTTTGTTTTATTAAAGAAAAGCTAATGTTCTTTTTTCAATCGAAATTTAGTAAAGTAGCATAGAACTTTGTTTCCTTTAGGAAGATTTTACTGGTGTGTTCCTCATACTTTTCTAAACTAATCACATTTAAGGATTGATATGCATGAGAATGTTCAGAAATAATTAATATATGAAGCAAGGATTACCTAAGCAGAGTCTTACGGTACTTTCCTGTACTCAAGAATTAGTTCCTGATCAGTGAAACAGTTCTTGGAATGCCAATTCTAAGAATTGTTAATTCTAGAAGTATTTCAGTGCTCTACAAGATTTGCCAAATAATTAAGATCTCTTTTTCTCTGCATGTTAAAAATGGTACTTTTCTCTCTTGTAGTGTAATTGTGGGAAAATGGAGGAGTATGAGAAGTTCTGTGAGAAAAGTCTTGCTAGAATCCAAGAAGCATCACTATCCAGGGAGAACTTTCTACCTGCCCAATCTGAAAGCATCTCACTAATTTGCTTCCATGGAGTGGCTGTCCTTTCTCCACTGGTAAAAGTTCTTTGTTTTTAAATGATGTTTTCCTCTGGTTAACCACTACAGTGATTTCAACTTTGATCACTAAGTTATTTTTGGCTATCCTAAGAAACATATTTAAAAATATTTTGGCATTCAGGCCTGGGCTCAAGGGCAAATGAGATGAATGTGTAAAGAATTTGCTTTTCTGAAAATTGATATGGAACACATTATTTGAAAAATGCCAACTTAATCTCCACTTTTTCTTTTCCTAAGTAGTCTTGGTTTTTATGTGTACAACTAAGCTTTAGCTTATAGACTAAAGAGTGACAGTATAAACAGTATAGCCCAAGCTCTAGAGCTAGGCTCAGGATCAAGCCTGAGCCTACTCACTGTAACACTCACTAGTTGCTTATTCTTATTCAGGAAGTAAACTTCTCCCATCATTTTCTTTAGCTGTAAATGTGGCTATAACTTTGCTGAGTCTCAGAATGGGACAAGCTTTAGCTGAGGTAAAACATGCAAACTGCTTACCAGAGATGCTTGAAATACCTGGTATTCTTTTGGATCTAGGCTTGTTAGGATTATCAGAGCAAGTTGTAAAATTTAGTAATTGCAGTTTTTAAGTGTGAGTAGAATGACCTCTCAAAATAGGTTTTATCTCAAAGTATAAAAAATACCAATCATATGTATTAAGAAGAGCTTATTAATATATAAAAAAGCTCTTACAAATCAATAAAAAACCCAAGATAAAAGTGAACAAAGAACATAAATAGCTAGTTCACAGAAAAAATAAAGAATTATAAACATTTGAAAAGGTGTTTAACCTTTATTCATAATTAAAGAAATGCAAATATAAACAAAAATGAATGAGCATTTTTTATTTACTAGATTGGCAAAGAGCTAATAGTGTTGCTTAGGTTGTGGGGGAAAGGCACTTATTAATTAATTCACTTTGGATGAGAGAATAAGTCAATACTATTTTTTGATGAGCATTTTGGTAGTTATTAGAATTTAAAAGTGTACATAACCTTTGACTCAACAATTCCATTTTTGAGAATATCAAAATACTGATATATATGCCCAAGGAAATATGCCCAAGATTATAACAGCATTATTTAAAACAACTGAAGATTGACGAACAACCTAAATGTGCATTAATGGTGGACTTGTTTAACTTGTTCATCATGTAGATTCTAGTACTTGCCATTTCCAATGAGTAAGGTAGATCTAAATGTGCTGGCATGGAAGGGTCTCTGTTTTGGTTATTTCTAGTGCTGCTCTAACAGAAATACCACAAATGAGTGGCTTGAACAAACAGGGATTTATTCTCTTACAGTTTTGGAGGCTGTAAGTCCAAGTTCAAAGTGCCAACCTGTAAGGGCTAGGGGAAAGCCCCTCGATCTTGGGCTTTAGCTCTGCCTCTTGTTCTTGGCCCACTGGAGCTGGTAGTGTTTCTTCACTCAGGCAGCTGTTGGCTGCCTAGGCTAACAAGCCCAAGGTCAAAAAGTAAAATGGCATAGTCCCAAGATTACCAAACAGCATGGCAGACCAGTAATTCAAGTCAAGAAACTGTCCCAAGACCGGCAGGCAATCATGGCAGGCTGCTAAATGAAGACTTGGCTACATACAGGGTCCAAGTGTGCCAAAAACCTGCCGACCATTCCCAAAGCTTCTCCTTATCCACTGGAAGCAGACCACATCCCTAAAGCAGCTACTTAGCTGCTTGCAGCAGATTCCTCCATGGAGTTGATTGCCAGCCTCATTGTGGGGAATAACTACAGCCAGCTTCTCAGCCACTCAAAACAAGGCCCAGCCAAGCTGACAGATAACTTTAACTACCACAGTTTCCAAGATCTGACATCACTGCATGGAGCATGCGCTTGAGACAATGTAGACAAGTGGGTGAAAGGCTAGTCTCTGGAGCCTGGTGCCCTGGTTTCAAATCATCACTGCTCTGCCACTTCCCTGCTGTGTGAATTTGTGTCCTGTATTCCTCCTCTGTTAAATGGGGATAAATAATAGTACCTACCTTATAGAGCTTTTTTGAAAATTAAAGAACTAATATATGTAAGATGCTTAGAATAGTACCTGGGTCATAGGAGCTACTCAGTATTTATTAACTATTGTTTGGATTTTAAAATAAGAATATTTTCTGAGCAGAGATAAAGGATTATAGGTTGGGAGGGAAGACTCATTTTTCATTATATACTCATTAATATTGATTGCATTTTTTAAAAATGTACATAACTTTATTTCAACATCAGAAAACAAATTGAAAATAATTCAGTTTTATATATTCTGTTCCTTTTTTTATATATATAACAAGTTAAATAAAAAATTTCTGCCAACTTTATTTTTTTTTTTTAGGATTTGGGTGAAGATTTACAGAGTAAATTCACTTTTCATACAGCAGTTCACATATACTTTGTCTCATGACAT